GACTATGGAAGTCAATGGCTACCATTAACTGTTCGGTTACCAACATTCTTCAATCAATCAATCTTTTTTTTACCAAACAGTTGATGATAGACATTGCCTTCCATGTTATGGAGAGAAAAAAAAAAACGATGGAAGTCAACGCTACCGTAAAATATTTGGTTACCAACATTCTTCAAAACATCTTTTGTGTTCAAGTTTGGCGACTCAACTCGAGAGTAAATGATGACAGAAATTTCATTTTTGGGTGAACTAACCCTTTAAACCAGCCTAAGGTGGTTTGGTGATCTTAGCTGGCAAGGTTTGATAGTTTTAGAGGAGTTTTGAGTGCTTGCTGATAAGGGTAGAAGACCAACAAACCACCTTTCAGACTTTTAGCAGGTAACTGACCTGATTTTTCCATATGTAAGTGGTTAAGCACAACAAAAAAGACTGTGATTGGTCAGCTTCTCATTTAAGACAAAACTGGAATTGATAAAAGCATAGTTACCTCCGACGGAGGAAGTTCTGTACAGCCCTCTCTCTGAGCTCTCTTTGGGTCACAGTGAATCAGCATCCACTGCAACTCAAACTGAAAAAACACAAAACAATCAAGTTATTTCTTTATTTGACTACATAACCGAATCCTAAACCACAAGGCTTTTATGATTTACATTTATTAGAATTAGGTTTTCATTGTAAGATGTGACTGACAGCACTATCAGACTTATTTTTATCTGTCCTTTGGACAGGAAGTTACAAGGTGCCGAGGTCCTACAATCTGGCAGTTACGCTGACTGATGGTAACACATATCAGACAGTGTGACAGTTACACAGACTGGCAGTCACATTTATCACAGGTAGAGACTGTAACAGGATGTGATGGATTTGATAGGTGCAGGGTGACAGTGACATTCATCAAATACAGTAGAGATCCACTACAAAACCTAAGCAAAAAATTTAATTACCCTAAAAAAAACCCTTCCAAAAAAATTCAATTTTAGAAAAAAGTATGTACATTTTATTTATAGAGTACATTTAAATTCAGCTTATACTGACTAAAGTGCTGTACAGAACAATCATAAAATATAACAGTTACTAATCCATATGTTAATAACCAGGAACGGCTATAGAGTAAAGATGTGTCTTAAGTCTAGATTTAAAAACAGAAATAGAAGAAGCACACTTAATGTCAGGTGGCAACTGAATGCATAACCGTGGAGCAGCAACTGCAAAGGCTCTGTCACCTTTCAATTTAAGTTGTGACTGTGGAACATATAAAAGAGCCTTACTGGCGGATATGAGGGACTTAGGAGCTGAATTAAACAAAAAAAAAAGATCAGAGATGGAAGATGGGACTTGTCCATTAAGAGCTTTAAAACAATCAGCAAAATTTTGATTTGAATTCTAAAAACGACAGGAAGCCAGTGATGTGATAAATGCATAAATTACCTTGTCCAAATCTTGAAAGGAAAGTGTCAGTTTAAGTCTGGAAATGATTCTCAATTGGTAGTAGCTGTTTTTAACAACTGAGCTAATTTGCTTTTCAAGACAAAGCTCAGAGTCAAAGATAACACCTACATTTTTTTGCATGTGACTTAACATATGGAGTAAGATTGTTTAAGTAACTGGCTATAGAGTTTCTAGTTTTGGAGGGACCAAAGATGATCACCTCCATTTTCTCATTGTTAAGCTGGAGGAAATTATTTGCCATCCAGCATTTAATATCCTCAAGACAGTCCATGAGAGGCTGCAGAGAATGTCTAGATTTTAATGGAACGTATAGCTGAGAATCATCAGCATAGAAATGAAAATACATTTTATATTTCCTAATTAAATTACAGAGTGGAAGCATGTACAGATTAAAGAGTAATGGCCCCAATATTGACCCTTGAGGAACCCCACAGGAGAGAGAAACAGATGATAAGAAAAACTGGCCAATAGCGACTGAGAATGTCTCAATGACTCAAACCACAGTAATGCCTTAGTAATGCCACGTAAATAAATAGCCGGTAACACTTTACTTGAAGGGGTGTGCATAAGACTGACATGACACCTTCATAATCATGACATGACACATGTCATGAATATGAAGAAATAGCCAATACAATACTTAATTTTAAACATATCTAACAGTGTGACAGTTACACAGAAAATTAAATTAACCCTTCCAAAACTTGAGCGTTACAAAGAATTAACCCTTCCAAAACTTAAATGTTACACTCTAAAAAATGTTGGGTTGTTTCAACCCAATGTTGGGTCAAATATGGACTAACCCAACTGTTGGGTTAAAAAGATAATTTAAAGAATTAACCCTTCCAAAACTTAAATGTTACACTCTAAAAAATGTTGGGTTGTTTCAACCCAATGTTGGGTCAAATATGGACTAACCCAACTGTTGGGTTAAATTTTGGTTACATTTTTAAATTAACTTTTTAACCCAACAGTTGGGTTAGTCCATATTTGACCCAACATTGGGTTGAAACAACCAAGCATTTTTTAGAGTGTAGAAATAATTAACCCTTCCAAAGAAAGACATGTACAATACATGTAATTAATAGCATGTGACTACATCATTTTAAACATATCTAACAAAAAAAATACTATTAATTTCTTATTTTTCTGATTTCTACTATTCATATTGTAATGGATAATTATTATTAATAACTAACTAATTAACTAACTAACTAACTAACTAACTAAATAAATAAATAGCCAATTCAATTAATTTTTCTACATCATTTACATGCAAATCTATTTTTTTCTACATCATTTACATGCAAATCTATCTATATTCATATTCAAGGTTTTATAAGTAAAACCTTTTTAGTGAACCTATAGGAAAGTTAAATATATTAGTAAATACTCAAGACTGAACTGGTGACTCTCACCACTACAGAGGTGTTGGGATCAGAATCCAGTCTTCCGATCAGAGTGTCTCCCTCCGTGTTGACATAGCCTTTCCTCTTGATGGGTTTCTGGTCCACTGGGTGACAGTCCACGTACAGTGTCACCAGCTCCTTCTCCACACCAACCATCACTTTGTGCCATTTAGTGTTGAAGAGGACAGAAAGGCCTGGGAAGGTGACGGTCTGCACATCTCCTTCCATAGTGGTGAGGAAGAACTCCAGGGCCTGCTGCTCTCCATTCAGACGCATGCCTGCCTGCTTCAAACCGTCTTCATCCACCACCTGCCAGATGTTCCACACCTTGTTGACGGTGTTCTTGATCATGCGGAAGGTGGTCATAAAGGAGTACTCATCTGGGAAGCCCCTTGGAAAATTCAGCCTGGTGGGCAGCAAATATGGATATATGTTGAACATACAGTATGAATATATATATTTAAAAATGTAAAACCGGTTTCAGAACTTTGTTTTTCTTCACTAGAAAGTCATTTTTTATTTATTTAACACTGTTCATTTTGCTATATATTTTACTTTAAAGTA